CAATGTCATGGCTTGACGTTTGCATTTATTTGACCTTTCCAGTTTACGTTAAGCAGATTGCTAGAGGAGAGGGGAATTGTGAGTTATGCAGATTGTTGAGAAGAGTAATGATGGTTTACCAAAGCGGACACGAAGCACAAGAGCGAACGGATTATTGAAGTGATCTATGTGCTTGATTAAACCTCAGTGAACTGAACAAACCTCCTGCGAATAAGGTAGAAAGCGACAGCGGCAATGAGTAATGCCGCAGCGATTACAACAGCAATAATTAGGACCAAGTAGTTTCGACAACCACCCCTCATTATACACTGCGTAATACCCATATTCGTTTTTGAATGCAAAAACGACTCGTTTGCAATGAATGCTATCTGCAAAATGCGATTTATGAAAAATGAAACAAGTACATGATGAATCCACTGTTTGGCATCTTCACTTAGTGTGAATCGACAGAGATTAGTCATTGCTAGAGAATGCTCACACCGGAAAAAGCCAGCGGAAATGTTCTCGTATGAATTTAGTCGTCATCAAATTTATTCGATAACCTTCCTACTTGAGTACTATTCTATTCATCTTATCCTTTCATTCGACTGAGGAACATCATCAATTGGAAAACAAATGGAAGCAATTCAAATCGCTTCAGGTAACGCTGAGTTCTTCTAGTGAAAGAACCCTCCCCCCCCTCCCCCCGTCCCCTCTCTCCCCCAGATAAAAAAAACTGGTAAGTTGAAGCGTTCTTGTTCAGCTGTAAAGAAAAATCACTCCAACAATAACCGAACGGATTTTTCGACAACTTCAATGTTTGGGAACGTCACAGTATTAGTTTATATCTCAGTCGATTCGAAAAGAAAAATCTCACTGCAATAAAAACAAAGTTCAAAACCGTTTTGTTTTGAGCTTTGTTCTCAAACAATCGATCGACTGAAATTGGCTCTGAAGTTAGTTAAGATTAATTGTAGGTGGAACAGCTTTACGTTTATGGATGTATTTGAAGTACGTTAAAGTGAGTAGCGGAAATTAAAGCGAGAGTCAACCAGCACAGGAAAGAGAAACGACTTCATCGATACGTGGATAATGTATTTGTATGAATGCACAATTATTTGCCTCTGATGAGCATTGTAGAAGTCGCTAATGAGCGAAGGTGTGCATCCGATACGCATCAACACCACAAATATGTGACTAAAGTCGTGAACAAAAGCCTATTTATTAAAGCATCTAATTATCCATGCTGATGATGACTGATAGCCTTTCAAGCTGTACCTCTAAGTGATGCTCAATAGACCCATCTCAAATATCTTTCGAGCCATTACTAGGAATCTCATAGCATGGACTGCGAACAAACAATGCATGTAAGTGGAGCATTCGGCCCTTTCGGATTCCACTGAAAACTGCGCCTCAATCTACTAACGAACTGAACTGCTCACTGAATTAAGCGCTGAAATTTCATTAAAGCTCACTTCAAAATCCCCAAAAACACTTCATGGTTCCTTTTACACAACATCACATCTAAAATATTTTCTCTCTTCAACAAGCGATAATTTCATATCGTGTCTTGTTTGCTCATCAACTGAACTTAAGCGTGGCCTTAAATCACAGCCTAAAAATAATTTTGCTAGCCCTCCTTATGACTCATCTATCGCTATTCACAGGTTATGTGCGCATTTCGCTTGAAGCAATCTTCACTTCATAAGCACAAACTCATCCAGATGACTGTACCAAAGTCTCAAGCGTTGCTTTTCATTGCGTTTTTCCGGCTTAAATGTGCCACCTGAACTGCTGCTATCGTTTAAAATTTACTGCAGGTTTGTGTATATGCTGAAGAATCATTCAAATTCCAGACGTCCTTTCCACATACCGTATTGAAGCATGAATAATCGGTGCACGGTGCTGAATGCGAAACGACGCTGAAAGCTGTCAAAAGTGGACCGTTCGGATTTGGCATAAATTGAAAGATGTAGTTTTGCAAACGATTCGCACCACTATCAAATGCAATTTGACTGAGTGGATCTGAAATTTACAGCAAAACGATTGGTTTTCATTTGGTCAGTTTTCTTTTTCTTTTTTTTTTCATTCTATCATTTGAACGTTTGGAACGTTTCAAAATGCTCCGAACGTCAGTGAAACAGAGCTCTTAAAATACTGGGGCAAAAGCAAACCAGTGAATTGAGCCTCTCTCATAGTCGTTACGAAATCTCTAGCCACAAGTCTCGATATTTCATCGCTGTTATAACAAAATCCATAACAAGCATTATACATTGTAATGTAATCCTCCAATCGGTGCTGAAATGCAGTTGTTGAGGCAATAGACGAGAAGTTACGACCCTAAAGCCTTAACTGTCAGTGAAAACCCTTGCCATAGTTTCCATGCAATAAAAGCTGCACGATCAACAGTGAAGAATCAAACGACTTACGGTGTCCATCGTCGAATTTGGCAAAAATCGACGCAACTTTGCACCAGCTGCTTCATAGTTCGGAACGTAAGGACCCAGCTGGTAATTATTAACTGATTCAGTTGCACGAGATGGTGAGCAACAGCTCAAATTGGTGAGTAGGAAACAGAGCCATATTTGTAACATAGAGTTAGGAAGTCATTTTTTTTGAATGATTTATTTTTGTTTTCACGACATCAAATCATTATTTTATTTCGACACCACCAATGAAAGGCATGCTCATAACTTCTTTCTTCTGTCAGTACACGCATTGGGGTCGTCAAGGTGCGATGAAATGATTCAGCAACAAAATGCAGCGAGCAAAACAATGCACTTGTTATTATTGTTTTTCGTGGAGTTTTCTCGAACGAGAAGAGATCAAATCTAATGTGTAATTAAGAAATGCGACTTATTTCATGAACGAGTTTTTTTAGCAGAAAATTTGCACCACCCACCACAATGATATTTGCAGCATGATCGAGTTTCAGAAATCGACATGTACAATCGTGAGAACACAACACTATGATGATGTAATTATCCGAGGACAATTTGGCAACGTTTAAACTGTTCAGAATGTTGTTCAGATCCACAAAATCTGACCCAATCCCGATCACTGAAACGATGTAGTGCAACTTTCGATGAATCCGTACAACATAATTCATCTGTTTGTGTAGTTGACCTGAGCTGATTCCTCAGTGCGTTCTTCTGTGTAATCGTCAACACCACCGAATGTGAACAAAGGACAAAAAAAAGATTCATTTAGTGGAATATCAGCAGTGAACATAAGCGAGAAGAGTGTAAAGGGTTGCGGATAGCAAAAGCTTGTGAAATTCATTCAAACATATAATCATTCCTGTTCATCAATCTCCATTGAAGATCGACGTTGTAGGTCAGTGTGTCATTTAAAAAAAATAGAAAATGATAGTTTAAAGGAAATACAACGAGAAGAAGTTCGAATGGACTGCTCAGTTGTTGTCATGTCAACCCGGTTATCTTCGTCAATTACTAAGCATTTTTTGACTTTCAGCAGATCGGTAGATTTGAGAAACGAATAAATACCTCGAGCAATCGGATATTCATCAACATTTGTTCGTTTGGGACTAACTAATATTATCTGAAAGAAATATTAGTTAGTTTTAGCATAAATATACTTCACTAAATACACACTTGTAGGACGATGGTGATTAAAAACGAACAGCGAAACTACTAGAATTCATATAATAACCAATGATTTTATGAGTAGTGTTTGCAAGAGATCCCCGGATCCAGGTTAGGAGAAATGCCGGAATTTTTGAGTTTGTTCAACACATTATTTTCTGGAATTCTGGTAATATAGTCGTATCGAGTCACAGATTAATTATTCTCATACCATTCATGTGCCGTAATACTTTTNTCGTAGCTAATGCTTCTTATTTCGTCATCACCGTTACTTCGTCTCCCATTTATTATGGTCTATCAACATTGCATTCATTCTTAAAATACGCCTTCAAACGTTACGAGTTCATCCGCATCTAGTAAAAGATATGACGAGAGCGATAATCATTCCTGTTGTTGAGAACATTTTCTTTCCAAAAAATACAACGATACCACGAAATGTAAAATGTGCGGTAGAATTGCAAGGAGCAAAAGAATCGTCCACGTAACGATTAGTTGTGCATGCAAAACCGAATCAAAGATAAAATATTCTGCAACGAAATAAATGCTCCGGAGGCCAGAAGAGACCTAGTGATTACCAAATTCCTCGAACTTAATTGTAAGCGCTGTGGTTCGAAAAGAATGGGTTGAATACATGACCTTTATGAATTCCGAAAGATGCTGGATCCCGAGATTCGATCCTGTTCCTGGGATTGAAAAATTGCTGGGAATTTGCAAACACTATTCATGAGCATGTAGAAAATATCTTTACCTTAACTGATTGCAACTGAAAGGAATAATGTTTTCGAATGTTTTGCGATGGTATTCTCAATTTCCGATTTAATTATAAGGTGCAGCTAAATGTTCAAATGTCAGCGTATAATACCTCCGTTAAATTCATGTAATCGGCAAACTCCTTAAGCGCATACGAAAGACCAGCAGCTGAAGCCATTGCGTATTGCACAACAGTTGGACAAATGACTGAATTGCTGACAAGGGGATCAATCGAGGTTCTTGCAAATACCGGTATGTTCCAGAAATGTGCCAGTTGACTGATTCCAAGCAACTCATCATTGCAATTCGGTCCTATGAATCCCTGAACCAGGTATTCACTATATTATGAAAACCAATCCAAATCACTGCTCGGCTCACAAAGACGACAAAAACTTGTCAGGTTTAGTAGTTGGGTCAGATACCATCAAGTTATCATTTTTTGGAGGTGGTAGACACTTGCTAACCTGTACGTTGTCCTTGTAGTAGAGTGAGGCAGCATTCGAAACGCCATTACTGTCAATGCATCCTGTTGCATTAAACACTCTGAAAGTCAATTCTTAACGTAATCTTGGAATTTTTTTCAGTAATCAGAGTGCGACAGTATTCGATTTGTTTGAAGGTGACCATTATTGATTGAAGTGATTCGGGATCTATTGCCCCATTTCGTTTCTTCGGCAGTTTCCTTTAAACGCTCAAATGACAAATGAAAACCATATCGGTCTTGACGGGACGATTTGGGACGAATAGGTTTTACGGGAGGACATCAATCAGCTGTGCTGTGTGAAGCTGTTAGGATTTTTTAGGGTTTTGAGAAGAGCTGCGTCAGATCAAAAACTTTGACCATACCTCACTTCGTGTTTGCAGTTTCCAGCAGCCGTTGCGTGGTCAATAGCGATTTTGCACAGCTGGACGAGCGTCTGATCACTTTCAATGACACCCAAACGCAACTGTGCGATCACAATTGCAGTTACCAAAGTTTGATGTAACACGATTCTAGTGTGCATCTGAGTGATCAGGTCTTACTACAGGTCAATCTTGTATTCTCTTCCAAAAATTAACTGATTATGGAGCAATACTTGTGGCATTCAAAGGATACAGTTGTTATCTCATTATGGAACAATATCTGTGGCATTCAAAGGATACATATTGAATCACCTGATCGTTTTTCGATTTTCTGACTTACGTGATTTATACGAAGACTCTTTTACTGAACTTCCAGCGCCCCTCAACTTACTGCTATGAAGCAAAAAAAA